ATGYTCATGGAAAACAGCAGTCCTTAAGGGAAGCAAACCAAATTCCCCATGCAACTACATAGGTGTGAATCCAGAATTACTCCACTAGGTGAGTGATCCCGATGTKTGCCATGGGGACAAAAGTCTCTGGCCCTGTGGAACACACAGAGGTGGGCAGCAGTGAGAAGTTACTCAARGTGGAAGGGAATTTGGTGGAGGTGTCTCACCAACCATCCCAAGCGTGGCTGCTGGAGAGACATCAGCACTGGCAAGGACAGAACATGAGCCTGGAGTGGTTAAAGGCCAAGCTGACATACACAACTCTCCCCCCTTGGGTCTGGATCCTCATAAACAGGGAGTTTTCAAAGGCAAAACTGGAGTCACGCAATAATCTGCATCGCAAGCATTCCTGAAGTTTGGGCTCTCCCTCTGTCTCTTTTGTTCCTTTCCTGTGGACTTTTATCAAGTGATTGTTGTGTCTGTGTTGCATTTCAGACTGCCCCGTCTGCTGCAGTGTGGAAGACCCAGCAGTGAAGAGAAAAGTGCAAGTTCTCCCCAAACAAGACCTTTCTTTTTTTTTTTTTTTTTTTAAAAAAACCTTCAAAGAACAAATAAACAGCCCCTCCTACAACATGGAAAACCTAAACATTATTGTTCTGTGCTTGCAGCACATGAAGTTATGATGGCAGAAGAACTGCAGAACATCTCAGAATGGAAAGGGGGAACTCAAGACAAAGACAGAATAAGCCAGATATGSTCTTGCCCCTTTTTGCTCCACCTACAATCTGGCATGACTAAGAGAGAAGCAATGTCCAGCATGCTGGGGACTTGTTTTATTTATTRTTTTAAACCCAAGCACAGACTRAAAGGCTTTTTCTCATCCAGATCCAAGGCTGGTGGTTACACACCGCATGCGTACGATTCCTGCCATGCTTCTCCGATGTGCAACGGGACATTCATGCAAGTGGGAAGACGAGATCACTGCAATTCAGTATTTACAGAGTGGGAGGAAAYGCTCAGCAACAGCACATCAACATGGAGGGAACATTAAAATAGACTATAGCCAYCTACCCAGGCCAGGGAGTGCTGTGGCTGGGAACAGGATGAGACAAAGGAAACATCTCAAGGGGAGGGTTAGTKGGGTAGAAGAGAAACTAGACCTGGTTTTGCAGTTGACACAGGGATCAGCTTTTTCAGGTAACTTGTTGTTTTTGGACCAAGCTGACTTGCAGGARTTAGAGGGGGCTGGAAGTAATGCCYTGTCAYAGGGTTCAGGGCAGACCATSCAGGGCAAGATCCAACACRGCCCCTGAGCCAGCAGCAAACACTGTCACGGTGTACATTGTGTACATTTCCTCCTCCACTCACTCTCAGAGCTAGGAAAACTCCAGAAAGCGGGGTTAGGAACATCATGGCCTGCAGGCTAGGTTTTTACAGAAACAAGATGACTAAAGCAGCAGAGCAAGGAGGACATGACTAATAAAATATTTAAGAGGGTAAAGAGATCCCACCACACCCACCTGCCAAGCCTAGAGGGTATTTCTCTGACAAAGACCAAGCAGCCAGCACACAGCAGAGACCCACCAGCATTTGGCAAACTGTCCTCCTGCACGTAGGGCATGAAAGCAGAAATTCACCAAAGGGCCTTTTCTCTGTGGACTGGAGGGCCCACTGTATGCAGTGCAAGAGTTAAATCCCCTGTTCTCATCTCTGTTTCCACACCTTCTCAAACCCACCCCACTCTAACTGCCTCAGCTAGCTGTACCCAATATATTTCTAAATCACCTGAAAACATCAGCTATCCTAGAAAAGGAGGAGTCTTCCTGCTTAAATACACATTCAGAAGCTGCAAAGGCTKGCAGACACATTCAGACTTGGGCTGCTTGTTCAATTTGTCTACAATCTCTGCAGAGTCTGCAGTCAACCTCAGCAACCTGATTCAGAGCCTGACAAAAACCTTCAGCTGAATTGACCACAAGCTGTCCCACTCCTGCAGTGTACCACAATCACCCCTCACACCATGCCAGAGTCACCAAAACACTCAGATCACATCTGTGAAATAGAAAAGTGGTCTTCAGAAGACCACTTTTTCTACTTCAGAAAAGTACAGAGAAAAACACAAACTAGAAATAATTTAGGGAACTGATGGGATGATGTGGATGATCACATCAGAGACTGAAAGAACATGCTCTGATAAAGGGATAACCCTATTTTTTTGCCTAAACACATCATTACCTCCCTGCCCCTTAACAGCACTCAGTGCAGGAGTATCTTGAGCACTTGCTCAGAAGCAGAAGCAATGCAGTCCAGTGCAGCTGCTGCTATCATGCAGTATAAAAAAGTCCCAAAAAAACAAAAAAAGAGAAGCAAAAAATCCAAAACCTTCCAATTTTAGCACCAGTTTTCCATCAACTCCCTGCAGGGTCTCATTCACCTCATCACAATTGGGCCAGGCTGTGCTGGTGTTTGCCCTGCAGGGAGAGACCAGAGGCACACACAGTGCTGGCCAGCGTTTGGCTGTGCATCTGTCCAGCAGGACTGAAAGCCTTTGCTTTTCCTACCCCACAGGAGTGTTGCAAGGATTACTTCATGTATATTCAGCACCATTTTTCAAAGTACGGCACAAGAGCCAAACCCTTCGATTTTTTTTTCATCTGTTCCTTGCTCTGTCACTCCCTCCTGACRGGATGTGTTTCTCCCCTCCTGAGAAACAAACAAGCACGAGGTCAGCAAGAGTGGGAAGTGGGAAGCACATTCCAGGCTGTTCCTCTTCTCTCAAACCACAAATGGCACCAAACCYTGCCATCCTCCCAGTGCTTTGTACCAGTGCCCAGCATCCTGGCCTCGCCGTGCAGCCCAGGGAGGAGCTGGACAGGGGACACTGCAGGGTGTTTAACCTCATCTCATTTCCTTTTCGGCTTCAAGGAGAAAAACACGAGGGTGAAATGGCCACCCCCAGAGCTGTGTGTGCACCCACAGCAAGGCAGGGGGGTTCTGCACAAACCCCGATCCGCAGCTCCCCTTTCCACACAAAATCCTGAGCAGATGCTGCAGCCAGAGTCAACCCCGAAGGTGCAGAGATGATGCAGCCCAGCCCTCAGGGAACATGGCAAAGGCTTGGCACCGAGCCTTGGCACGAGGGGATGGTTCACATCCGAGTGTATGTAAGGGTTAGACATCAGGCAAGTGTTCGGTGCAAGTGCAGGCAAATCCCATGCGGGGCATTTTCTCCTGTGCACAGACTTGTTGAGCCACAGCAAAAGGGCAATGCTGGCAGCAGAGCKCAGGTACAGGCAGCAGCCAGCTGAGGATGTGGACAAATCACTGTGGGGTGCTCTGTGGGACAGAGAGCCTCAGAAGGGTTAAAAAAAGGTATTAAAAAGGTATTAAAAACACGAGCAAGTCTGGTCAAAGAGCTCCATTGCCCGACACCCAGACAGTCGTGCAGTTAATGAGAACATCCACTGTTCCATCACAGAGCAGTGAAATCAGTGTCAGCATGAACACAAAATCCCCAGATGTTGCAAAAGCAAATTAAGATGAGTCACACACAAAATAAATTTTAAAAGGGCTGTTTTCAACACATTGCTTTGATAAGCCTAGAATGCTATTTTAAATAAGGAAAATAACCTCAGTCTCAGTAGAAGCATACATGCAAGAAGACCCCAYACCCCAAAATCTTCTGGGGTTTTATGTATCAATTTTACTGAAGCGGGAGACAAAAACCCTATTGCTTACTTTAGAGGAAAGTCTTTCAGTGAGTTTGACATCAGTGAGTCTGGAAAGGTCTTTGAAATCGGGAAAAGAAATCTCTTAATTTTTTAGCATGACAAATTTTGCGTCATTTCCCACAGATGCTGACGCCACATAGAGCATCTTTCACAGTAAGGACCRCCAGCTGCACTTGCATTGCACACAAGCCAAATTACAGTTCCAGTTCACTCCCAGGATTTCTTTCAGGAACTCTAGGCATCACATGGCCACTAGATTTAAACCAATGAAGTCTCCAGCTGGAAATGGATTTCAGCAGAATCACCCTCCCTSTGCTCTGTTTTGCAGATCTTCACCTACTAAGTTGCCCAAAGGCAACTAAATAGCAACTAAAAGGTTACGAATGGGCTCAAATAAAGCGGAAATCCAGAAGGAGATGTTCCAGAAGTGCTTTAAACATTCAGCTTGTCATGAAACAAAATTCCCACAGTTTCTGTCCTTACCAGTCATGAACAGGAATTACTATAGGTAGCTGGCTTGACAGAATACAAGTCTTGAATGAATAAGAAAAAGACTTAACTATCCTGGTGTGGATTGGTGGAAGGGTTGTTTGGTTTTTTTTCTCTTTTTTTTTTTTTCCTTCTTTTTGGCAAGGAAGTTCAAAGAGTGACACCATTTTTCTCAGGAAAGTGAACAGTTATAAGGCAGAAGTTACTGGGATAAGGGGATGATGCTCAGCATGTCAGCAGCTGCCAAATACCGACTGCACAGTGCTACTTCACAAAAATACCACAAAGTATTTCACATCACATCAGGGTAATGACCATCAGATCCCCAGAATTTGGCTTATGTACCTCCCAGCTTCACGCACCATCCCAGCTCCTGAATCACGGAATCAATTCAGTTTGTCTGAAGGGGTAACACCTCTGGCAGAGGGAATTGGGGAGTGACTGACAGATTTCTGGGGGCTTTTCTCCGCAACCTGAAGGCAGATAATTTTCAGGATTAACTATGTTACACTAAAAGACAAACACCCTTCCCCAAAACAAACAGCAAAACCACACAAAACAAAACAGGAAAAGCACAGGTGAGCYAAAGCTGGAGAGAATCCATCCAGGATTGCCATCCAGGATTCTCTCCCTGGAACTGGCCATGACCACTGGACCAGCACACGTTGGGAGGGACCATACCCGGAGAGCTTGAGAGAGATGGCAAAGGGGGCACACCTGGAACGCTCGGGAGTGTGGAAGCACGGATAACCCTTTGCAGAGGGCGGTGAGGAGGGCCGGGCAGGGCCGGGCGGTGCCTACCTGGATGTAGGCKCGCTGCAGGTAGCTGTAGGGCACCCTGCGCTGGAAGTCTGCGCGCACCTCCTCGGCGGCGCGGTGGCGGGACACGGCYCCCAGGCGCGGCTCCTCGCAGCGCCGCACGCAGTCCGCTCGCCGCAGCACCGAGCCGAAGAACGGCAGATCCCCGCCGGCTCCCGGGCCCGGAGCCGCCAGCCGCACCTGCGCCCGGCACAGCCTCCGGCACCGCAGCCGCGCCGCCCGCAGCTCCCGCCGGCTGCGCAGAGCCCGCTCCAGGCACCGCGCCGCGCCCGCGAAATCCCCGCCGTAGTACGCCTCCACTCCGCTGGCGTAGAGCGCATCGAAGGGCTCCAGAGGGCCGCCCTCCGCCGCGCACCCGCCGCCCGCCGCGGGCAGCACCAGCAGCGGCAGCAGCAGCGGCAGCAGGGCCGCCCCGGGCCGGCTCCCCGGTGCCATGCCCCGCCACGGGGGCCGGCCGCGCTCGGAGCGGGATGCGGGGGGCTCCGGGGCTCCGCGCCGTGCGCTCCGCGCCGTGGATGGAGCTCGGTGTAGCGCCGTCCGTGCGGTGGATCCCGGCGTGSTGGGATGCGGGGTCCGCGCCGTGGAGTCCGGGGATCCGTGCGATGGAGCTCGGCAGAATGGGGCGCGGGGGTCCGTCAGTGAGAGCGCGGCTCGGAGCGGCGGCTCGGAGCTCCGGGGGCCGTGCGCGGGGCTCGGCTGCGGTGCCGGCGGGGCCGCGGCTCCATGCGCTCCCGGTCTGTGCCGCCCTCCCGCCCCGCCGGCACCTCTTAAAGGGCCCCGCCCCGCCGGCCCGGCCCCGGCTCCCCCCGCAGCGAGCTGGGGCCGCTCGGAGCATCCCCGCGGCCGCGGGGCTTTGTGAGTGACGTCGGGAAATGTAAACCGTCCCGGGGTGATGTCAGTGGCAGCAGCGGCAGCAGCCTTTCCTCCTCTTCCTGCCCTGTCCCGTCCCGCACCTCCTCTGCCGCCCCGCATCCTCACGCTGCCGTCCTTATTCGAGGGATGATTGGTTTTGTGTCCCTGCGAGGCTGTCGCTTGGAGCCGTTTTTCGCTGGCTTCTCCAGCCCCCTCACCATTCTTACCCCGGCAGCCTCCTGCCTTTGGGAATTCTGCAATAAATAATCTGGGATGGGCACAGTAAGTGGCTGGCAAAGCTTTTTCAGCTCCCAGCTGTGTGTTTGTCTCGGTTCCTCCAAGATTTCTCTCTTCCAATGCTGCAATGCCCTGCCCTGCCAAAAATGTTACTCATTTTTTTGCATGAATTTTAATGATTTCTTGTGACGAGACGCTTGGCAATGCAGTCTGGTGACACATGAAAAAAAAATATCTTAGTTGGCATTTTAAAAAATCTCAGCGTTGACCACCTGTCAACAAGAAATTTTTCATATTAACACAGTGAATTTGGCTGAAATCAACTGTTCCTGAGTGAGGGGGAATGACCAAACCCTGGATCTGGCTGGATGCTTTACAGTAAGCTGTTCTGGGATCTKCTGCTCCAAATCTGTGCGTACAGCACTGTGCTCAGAGGGGTCTCTCACAAGGCATTGTGGCCTCATTTATTTCAGACATTTCAGGAATATCACCACAGATATTGCCTATCTTCCCATAAACTGAAATAGCTGCAAATGGAAGATACTTGAAATGCATTTGGTCCAGATTTTGTTACTGCATCAAGCCAGATGTTCCTCACGGTCATGCTGAGCATCCCCCTCTGCTGCTCCAGTGACTTTGATCAAATCATGCCTTGTTTATACTGCTGTGTCCAGGATCAGAAACAGGGCTCAGCAGCCTCTCATCGGGCAAGTRATCAGATTATGGAGTCAGTTTACAACAGTTTCACATAAAGGAGGTTTTTTTGTTTTTTTTTCACATGGCTAGAGATTTACTAGAGCTCTTGGTGAAGATCTTTCCCATCTGGCAAAGATTTCATAACAATTGTCCTTGTTGCTTTCTTGCAAATTGTCATGAAATGTTTTAAAGGTTTGGGTGTCCCTCCACCCTTCCACTGCCAGGCTGGTGTGCAGGGGAGGGCATTCACAATGGGGGAGCCCAACACCCTGGAGGGATATCTGCAGTGAGAGGGGCATGTGCTGTAACTATTTGTCTGTGCAAAAAAAAAAAAAAAAAAAGGGATATCTGCAGTGAGAGGGGCATGTGCTGTAACTATTTGCCTGTGCAAAAAAAAAGGGCTGAGGTCCAGATAAAGCCTTTTGCAGATAAAAGTTTATCAGCACTCTTGGGGAGTGGAGGCGACATTACGAGAGGGCTACTTAAACCTTCTCAAGGGTCACAGAGGTGCCACTGGTGACTGCAGGAGTTCAGAGTGGGAGGGAGCTCTGCCCCAAATCACAGAGAGAAAACACTYGGCTCCCTGGGTGCAGTTTCTGAACAATGCATCTCAGATGATCTATTTGCAGGAGTGCTGTACGTAATTCCACATTGCTTCCAGGACAGCAACATCTCTGCGCTTGCAGTGATAGCAGAGGCCCTGTGTAGGAAGGAATGCAGAAAGTAGATGAGTGACTGGAGAGTGAAGAAGTCAAACAAAATATTTGATTTCACACTGCTGCATGTTCTGGTCCAGATCTTTTTTTTACATTAAAACTCCTTTTAAAACAGTGAAGAAAAGGTTCTTCACTGGGACCATGCGGCCCTATTCTGCTGCACTTCCTCCAGGGTTTTCTCTGAAGGCACCCACTCACTCTAGGACCAGACTGACACCACCCCACTCTGCAGTCTCCCTGCCTGGGGTCTTTTCTTGTTCACAAACATTTGGCYTTCCCTCACCTCGATGGTCTGCTGCTACCCTAGCAAAGATCTCAACAAGAGCTGGCACACAGGAGGCTCTTCATGCAGGGTATTTCCACATTCAGTGCAGTTGCTCAAGCAGCCACCTTTTTTAAACACAAGCACAGACTAAAAGGCTTTTTTTCTCATCACTGCCAGAGCAGCAACCAGATGGAAAGAAGTTTGCTGGTCCCTTTATTGTGGGTCTTGTTCTTGAAGAAGGTCTGGACCAAATGACATCAGCATCATAGACAAGGTGGGCTTGCCTCCATGGAGTTGGAAAGGAACTGGGTTTAGAAGCCCTGCACGTATAAAGATAGGATGATACAACTCTGAATCAGGCCCCAAGATGCCTGAGATATCCCTCATGCCTTTAATGAAAGGAATAATTCTAAAAATGTAACAACTCAGCCCGTGTTCAGATGTTGATCCTGGCCCCCGTGCAGTTGTTTTGAAAAACATTTTCCTACGTAAATARGTTCATCTGAAGCTTATTTTTTCCTTGAAAACTCTGACATGTGAGTCAAACCACTGATGATTTGGCAACAAGATAAGAGCRAAATTTAAAATGCCTTTCAAAATGGCTTTTCAACATGCACTTTACAAGCAGACCTAGGTTTCAAGACCTCTCTGTTTCATTTGTAGATGTGCTTTMATATTTAATCGTGGACAAACTTTATAATTCCAAATCAAACACAGGTGACCTCTTTAGTCACATACCTTTGTGAGAGGGAGAACTTTGAATCACATGGAAAAGTACAACATACCCTTATTGAAGGGCTTTGTTTTTTGTCTCATGAACAAAAGTGCAAGTTAATTGAATAKATCACATCCATTTGTTAATGGTTAAACTTCATGGTTTAGACCTGAATCCATACCTGAATTCCTCGCTCTACCCAAGACCTTTTTTATTCAAGTGTTTGTGAATGCCGTAAATATCAGGAAACAAATACCAAATAAAAAGATGTGCTGCAATAATAATCATGCACCATATTTTGGGACTCTCCTTCTAGRAAAAATCCATCCATCAGAGCTGTGTAAAACTAGTCTGGGTTTGGGGAGAGTGAAAGCATGAGCAACCAAGGAGGAATTTTCTCTGCAAATCATTATTCTTGTSATAGCAAGATGTGCACATTGCAACAGTGTAGGATATGGATGGAGAGAACACCAGGTGCCTGCTGGGGATGCCACTGCACCTGCCCCAGGCTGTACCTGTTGTTTCTTTGCTGGTGATTTATGATCTCCTACCCCATAGCTGTCCCACTGTATGTTTGGGCCTTCTCTGATGCATTGCTCTGCATGGGTTTTTGACAACTTGAGGTTGGCACAGGTAAATGGGTCTTTAATTTTTCTTCCTAATCATTTTGACTTTTATTTCCTTCTAGCCATATTTCTGTAGGCTCAGGACCTGGAAGCAGCTATGGCTTTCTCCCAGATACCTGATAYGATGAAATGCTGGCTGTTCTTCCACAAACTACAATCTCAAGAACTCAGAATGTCCTCTGTCCTAGCAGCCCTCTATCCTGACATTTCTCCAAATTGTGTCCATCTCATATCTTGCTGATGACAGCCTCTATTTTTTTAATGCCTTCCTCTTGACCTTACCTCTGTAGAAGCACAAAATAATTGCCAGCAAAGCTTTGCTCACAGCTCTAAGTGCATGACCCACTCATGTATCCTCACACACACTGTCAAGATCTTCTCATATCCTCTGTAGCACCCAGGAAAGTTGCCTTGGCACAGGCTTGTTCACTTCTCATTATTAATACCAGCCTTGACAGCTCATTTTTTTATTTGTCCTGGTCTGGACTGTCTCTCTGCTTCATTTTATGGGACTTACTGTACGTCTGCCTGTTTTAGAGAAGGTTTCGTGTTCTAGAATTTGCCATTGTTTCTCTACTGCAGCACAAACCAAAACTAACAATTCCCCAAAGCCATCCCTGCAACAATCCCTCCAYTGGACATGTGCTTTGGTTTGCAAGTGCTGTGTGATTCACAGAAACCCCTGTGCAGCATCTGTATAAAAACCTTAACATAAGAGCACAGACAAATACAACACGAGGTTTGCTGTTGGCACTCAGCAGAGAAATGCAATCCTATAAATCTCAAAAGCAGAAGATTCCTGTGTCTTCCCATGTGTAGGCAACAGTATAACTTTACTGAATTCCAAGTGCCTTCACACTTTGCTTACTTGGAAACTTGGATTTGACTGCTGTTATGAATTAAAAAAAAACCAAGAATAAAATTCAAGAAGTATAAAATACAAAACCAAAGGCACACTGATGTCCTGAAGGAGTTGGCCTCGTGCCTGTACCTTTGAGCTTGGGTTTAAAATACCTCCATGGCCTATATTATTTGGGATGACAATAATTAATAACACTAAAGAATTATTATATTGTGCTCCACAGAAAACTTTTCCTACACTGACAGACAAAAAAAGTTTTACATAATTACAGTTTCTGTTATGAACAGGAAGGCAYCTATAAATGATATAAACTGAGAAWATTTAATCRGAGACTCATATGACACAGTTRTTTTCAATGCATAGTCTGGAGTTAATGAGACGTGTGAATGGTTCCATTGTGTAACTGTCTGAACTTCAGCTGTAAGCTGTGGCTGTTTCAGAGGGGGAACAGGGTCCAATTCAGGACTGCTGTAATTGGACCGAAGTCGGTGACATTGCCAAAATGATGGGTCAAGTGTGGAGCGTGTGTCGCACAGCCAGAGCCTGGCTGCAGCTCTGGGAGGTCACAGGGATGGAGGAATGGATGGATGGATGGATGGATGGATGGATGGATCAGGGATGGATGGATCAGGGATGGATGGATGGATGGATGGATGGATGGATGGATGGATGGATGGACAGGGATGGATGGGGTGACACAAGCTGGCTGAGGTGGCCTCTTTGAGTAGGGTTTAAAGGACACAGAATTCATCTAGAAGGGGCATCACACAT